CCCCAAAACCCCAAAACCCCAAAACCCCAAAACCCCACCATCTAATTTGTATATTGATTTAAAATTATTTCATAATGGACAGCTCATCCGAAGAAAATAAGTCTGCTCTAGAAGACGATGAGTCTTTTGAAAGGTAACCTATTCACAAGTTTACACATATTCCTCTGCATTTGCCAGATGGGACAAGCTTTATATCTTGCAATTATTAGGATAACTAATAACTATATTCTAAATATTCCTTGAGCACATAAAAATTGGATTTTCCACAACAGCCCATGCCCTGATTAATCACCCTCCTCAAATTTGGATTGCGTTAAAAATTTACACTACCCTGAGCTAGCTAAGAGCTGGTCGATCCAAAAAGCCAAATTTTGATAAATTCGGAATATTTCAGCTACCTTTTTCATAATTAAATTATCATAAAATAGCTTATTCCCTGTAAATTCTTTGTATCTTCATTTTCAGAAACCCTCTTGGCTCTAAAATAGCCAAAGACTGGCTAGAAGTAGCTGCTGTTTAGTCAGACTTAGTCTCCACAGTACAAATCTTTCATAAAATTTCCCCCAAAAGTCTAATAAATTTAGGGATTATGTAGTCACACATAATAAAGATGGTACACCTCTCAGCAAAGACCACGAGGAATGCTTGATTCAGAAACTTATTAGACTCAAAATGGAAGCTGACAAGAAAGTTGAGGAAGAAAACAAGGAAACACTTCCACCAGTCGACCTGAGTCTTAAAGACAAAATTATTGATGAAGAACTCGAAGAGTATATTGACTTCCTTGTCCTAACTCTTGATGAAAACAGAGACATCCTTTATCTTCTTATGTTCATTGCCGCAATTGAGGATGACGAGAAGCTGACCATCTCTATTAAGGAGAAGACGGATAATTTTGAAGGGTACAATACTCCTGAAAACCAGAATGATCTGAATAACTTAGCTGAACTACTAACGAACGATCCCCTTATTCTCAACCGTGCGTTTATCCATGCTATAAATCTCAGAAGCATTCCGATTATTGAATATATCATTAAAGGGGCTGAAAATTTGTACTTAAACCCTTCGATAGATGATGCGCATATTCTGAAACTAGTAGAGGATTACAAAGATCCGAAATGAATCCAAATTCTAAAATTAATTTGCATCAAGGAAATCACGCTGATAAATGATGAAGAGATAACTCTGGATTTATCTATGAACAATCATACTGATTTAGACTCCTCCATTAGAAAGAGCAGTAACCTGTTTTTAGGCCAAAGGATGAACTCCAAACCTATTGAGAGCTTGGGTCAAGATAAACTTGGAATCAGCAAATTCAAAGACCAAACTTTGAAAAATAAGAAGAGAAAGAGAAATGGAAGCGTACGAGTCTCTCCCAAGAAAAATCAACCTAAGAAGAAGAGTAAACCCCTCCCTCCAAAACCAGAGTATAAGAAGAAAAAGAGCCCTTTTAACAAGTTCCTCGAAAAATCAGATATTATAGAGGTAGCTATCAGAGCTGCCCATATCTCTGATGATCAGGAAATGGAGCTTATCACTGAACTGTATGACTTGCTTACGACACCTACGAGCGAAACAGTTGCATTGTATAAGCTTCTGATCTACTACGAGCAAATCCAAACTTTCGAGCTGACCCTTAAAAATAGAATAAAGCATGGGGTATCCAAAGATCGGACTATGGTCACCGTGCGTGACTTGGACGAGATACAAATGGGCAGAAAAGATGATGATAATGTCTATGATTTTGATGAAATCATCTCTGACGCTTTTGCTTACTCTATCAGACTCAACAAAATCCATATTTCCTTCTACTTATTCAAGAAATACGAAGATGATGTCTATGGAAACAAATTCTTATGTATAAAAGCCATCTTTGAATCTTTCAAGAATGATGACACTCAGATAAATCACGTTATGTACCTTGAGGAAAGGCTCTTCATTTTGGAAAAGTTCTCGAAATATATCGAATACAAAATGGGTCTTGAGTTTTTAAACATCATGCATGATCAGGTCCTTGACGATCCAAAGGATAACTTTCTCGTCTACTGCCCAAATCCGCTGAAGATCATAATCCTGCTGTTGAATATTTCGATAGGAATAAAAACAAAGCATCAAAATCTGAAATTTAAAGCTCAGAAGTTCAGATCAACTCTTTGAGATATTGCTCACTCAGTAATTGATACAGCTAGCAATATGAACGAAGTGGAAGACCTCTTAAGAGACAAGACTTACTCAGGAATGGAGGTCTTGGACCTCATCGCTCATCTAGATATCATCGAAATCCTTCAAAACACCATGATTGACAGTATCATCTCTAATATGTACTTCGGCCCTTACGAAAGGGAAACTTTCCTTAAGAAAAGTACTTGTTATAAGATCGTTGAAGAGCAAGTTAGAGAGGAGCCTGGAACAGAAGGCTTGGTGACCAGATCTTTCAAGATAATCTCATTCAAAAATAATTTTAAAGGTCTGAAGAAATATTTTAAAATCCAAACCAAATTATGAAAGAAATGTCGAAGAAAAGATGGTAATGAATTCTTAATAATATTTTAGGCATGGCTATTGAAAGTTTAGCCCAAGATGAGGAAGAAGATAACCAAGAAGGCACTGTTGGCCATATGTTCATGTTCCAGATCTGGAAGAAGTCTCTTGATGTGCAATACCTTATTGAAGCTGGTGTTATATTTGTTATTGCTCTCATTTGGCTCATTTTTGCAAACCTTGTAGTCGAGATTACAGAAGATATTGAGGATTTAAACTCTGAAATTTCTCAGCAAAATAGTGTTGGAGCATCCCAGGATGATATAGATAAAAATGTTTCTAAACTCGCAGAATATTCATCAGATTATTTAAGATACCTTCATCTTTTGCTTGTAGTAAGCTCACTCACCTATACCTATCTTCTGAAAGATATAGAAGAGCATATTTATTGAGCTTTGAGATCAGTTTATCTAAAGACTTTCTCTAATAAAATCCTTCTGAATATTGCTAATGCATTTTGAGTAACATATTGGCTCTGCTTCCACATCTTTAGCTTCGACAATAATACTACAGGAATGACGGATACAGAGAGGGCAGATACTATCATCGCAAGGATGGACAAAGAATCATTATTTGATATTAGATATACTCTCTCAATACTGATGACTATCCAGCTGACTAGACTTCTGTTCACACTCCAAGTGAGCAGAACTTTTGGTCCGTTAGTCAAGATTCTTGTGTCAATGCTAATGGATGTTTTAATATTCATGTTTTTATACCTTCTACTTTTCTTAATATTCACTAGTGTAGGACTTTTGCTGTTCCAGGAACTCAGAGAATTCAGTAATATTGGCCATTCAGCCAAGACCTTATTTGCAGCATCACTAGGAGACTTCAATTTTGACTTATTCGATGATATAAAGGAGAGTTCTCCCGAACTTGGCTATATTTTTCTTTCAGTGTTCTTATTGTTCACTGCAATCATGTTGCTCAACTTCCTTATTGCCATTCTCTCAAACACTTATGCAGAACTAAACGATGTTAAAAATGCTCTATATCTCAGAAAAGTTATTCACCTTCGTCAAAGGTATGATTACGATAGGTTGTACTCAGCAGTGGTTTTCTCGACACCACCCTTCAACATCTTCTCGCTCATACTAGCCCCACTAGTGATCTACAAAAGATCAAGAACACTGAACAGAGTGATCCTGATTATTCAATACATCTGGGTAGGTGCCCTCTCAGTTGTATTCTTCAGTATTCTCTCAGTGCTGATGATCCCTATCTCATACCTAGTCCTCATTGGTCAAAAATTCAGAGCGATTCCTTTGAAGCCTCTTCGTGGAATGAAAGACATCTGGTACAGAATTCTAGATTTGGTGCTATTCATCTTCATTGGCATCTTCTTCCTCCTCTTCTGGGTAGGCTTAGACATTTTCAATTACTCCATGATGCTATTCGCCTACAAGATCATTTATATAAATGATTACGAGGAAGAAAGACAGGACCTTATCATTAAAGAGATGGATGGAACAATGAAGAAGCAAGAAGACAACAAGGACTTTACAAAATCAACCTCAATTAGCAACACTAAAATGCTCCAAAAGCAGTTTTATCATAATAGCTCTAAGAATAAAGGCATGAACCCTGTGAAGGAAGGCCTGAGTAATAATACTCTCAAAATTATGAAAGCTATCCTTAATGTGGTTAAAGAGATTCATATGAAAAATGTGGGAGATTCCAACCACAACCACTTTAATGTTAACTTCATCCCGACCATCTGTGTTCTGGACGAGATCAAGCAGTTCCTTCTCATACAAGAGCAGATAAATACTGTGGTTCTTGGAGTTACCTACCAAAAGAGGGAAGACTTTTTCAGTGATCCTAAGTTTGAAAAACTTGTTGATGCTATCCTAGCAGCTGAGCAAAGAGACAAAATGCTAAATGCTATCTCAGAGGAGCCTGAAAAAGATGAGCAAAGCACAGACAAGCGGGAAGTCGACACTCTTGGCCAGACAAAGACCCCAATAATTCGTAAAAGATTCTCAGTCTGGGACGAGCATTTCCAGCTCCCTAAAGAAACTAAAGAAGCTGATGATGATAGGAGAGAGTATTGGTCAGAGTACCTCAAAAGTTTTCTTACTAAAAGTAATGAGAAGTGGATCCTGGATCAGTTCAATCTTTGTAAGAAATTCCTTAACCAAAACTCTATTGTTGGACATTACGATGACTTCTCTCATCCTGCCTATGAAGAATTCAGTCATATCAGATCAATGAAAAGGAAGTGCACTGATTTGGACGACGTTTTGCACTCAAAAAAGCGATTTTCAGCTTTAGTAAAGTCTAGCAGCAAGGATGATGCGAGCAAACATCAACGCGAAGATAGTAACATTCCAGTCCATAGAATCTCTGATATAGATCTTAGTGTCTTGAAGTGAGACATCAACTCTTTACTGAGAACTCTAGAAGAAATCCAGAATAAAGTCAAAATGAACATGATCCTTTCTTGTAACGGAGAAGAAATTCGAAAAGAAGATCTTTCAAAAACCCAAGTGAATAACGAGAAATTCGTCAGACAACAATTCAGCATGATCAACTTTGGTAGAAATTTCACTGCCGTAGAATACTCCCTCAATAACCCATCAGACCCATTAAATAAATTTAAGTTGAGATAAAAATATCTTTCAACGCTATTTCACATCCATGGGGTTTTGGGGTTTTGGGGTTTTGGGGTTTTGGGG